CTTTTGATGAGACCCCAACATCCACAATACCAATCCCAAAAACCTCCATATCCACAAAATTCTTATAACCCTCCAAATTACCAACACCCTCCACAACAAGGTCAATCAAGTGGTAACCATCAAATGAGCCTTCAAGAACTTGTTACTTCTCTTGCTCAAAGTCAAACCCAATTTCAACAAGAAACCAAGAATACTTTCTCCAACATTCAAGCACAAATTGGAGACTTGGAAACCGCTCTCAATAAGATAGAACAAAGGGGTAAACTTCCATCACAAACCGAGAAGAACCCCAATGTGAATGCCATCACCTTGAGAAGTGGGAAAACACTTGGAGAAAGTCAACCTAAAAGAGTTTCAAGAGAAGAAGAAGATGAAGTGATCATCGTGGAACCTCCAAAAGTTGTAGCTCCCCCAAAGGAACTGGTTGTGCCAAACGTTGATCAACCCGACTCTTCCAACAAACCCATCAAACCATTGGTCATACCACCTCCTTTCCCTTCCCGGTTAGCCTTTTCCAAGAAGATAGAGGTAGAAAATGAATTATTTGAAACTTTTTGCAAGGTCCAAATCAACATTCCACTACTGAATGCTATTAAGCAAATTCCAAGTTATGCAAAATTCCTCAAGGATGTATGCACCAAGAAGAGAAAATTCAAGGCAAATGAAAAGATTCAAGTCAATGCAAATGTTTCTGCGATTATCTAAAAGAAGTTACCTCCCAAATGCAAGGATCCGGAAATATTTGCTATCCCTTGTACCATTGGTGATTTGCATGTCGAAAGTGCTATGTTAGATCTTGGAGCCTCGGTCAATGTGATACCATATTCGGTTTTTCAATCTCTCAATGTTGGACCTTTGGAAGAAACTGGAGTAATCATTCAATTAGCAGACAAGTCAAGTGTGTCTCCAAGAGGAGTGTTGGAGGATGTGTTAGTACAAGTTAATCAACTTGTTTTTCCGGCGGATTTTTATGTCATTGTTCTTGAAGAGAAGACTCCTTCCAAATCATCTATGATCCTCCTTGGAAGACCTTTCATGCATACCGCTCACACAATCATTGATGTCCATAAAGGAAAGATAACTATGGAGTTTGATGGAGAAACCATTCACTTCAACATCTTTGAAGGAATGAGGTACCCTAGTAACATTTCTCCATTGTATCGGGTTGATGTGATTGATTTTACCAAATAGACTAATTTATTATTAGCAAAATGGATTTGATTCTTAATTAGGTTATTTGTGGAAGTGTCAAGATTTTACCAAATAGGGAGAGTTTCTCGTCGCCCAAGTTTCAAGTGGATAGGAACTTGGAATCGTGCAACAAGTATTGCATAATGAATGAAAACTTCCACATTTGGAAAATTTAGACTAATTTATGACAAAGTGTCAATTTAAGGACTAAGAGATCGAGTACACTAGGTCGTACGTTGATCAAGTCTAACACAAGAGTAACAAAGATATTAGTCATGATTTACTAAAGTTTAGTGAATATGGTTATACTTATAAGATTGAGTATAATTATGGGTTGATTAAAAGAGTTTCAATCAATAACAGAACGAATAATAAGAGCCAAGTAGGCAGAAAGATAAAAGTTTCTTCGCTCTAAGAAGAAGGGAGAGTACCTTTTATTATGTTTTATGATAGGTCTTAATGATTAAGAGCCATATCTCAATTGATCCTCTAAGCGAGTCTTAGTATAATTTGTATGTCTAAGAAGAGGAATTGGGAATTGTGGAAATGGTTAAATCAAGAAGTCAATCATACTTCGTTCCAATATCAAGTCTTAGAGTTATACTCCAAGATTCTGAACTGAGTGACAAGTCTTAAGAAGGTCTATAACATTCATCAAATGTGGAATTTGGAAAAGGTTTTTTTTCTTATTCTTGCACATTTGAAATTGGTAAGTTGTGATGTCTTGGATAAGACAAAGACCAACTAAGACCAATCATATAAAGTGTTTTGTCTTGATGAAAACTGCACTAGCTCTTGAATATTTCTTTGTCTAGAAATGGTTCTTGACAAGAGAATGTTATATGTCAAGGAGTCAGTGAGAGTCTTAATGGTCTTGAAAGGTTTCAAGAACAGATCAAGAATAAACCTTATCATTCATCACTAGCACACGACTTGAGGTCTACAACCTATCATGTTGACACTATTTTTGTTTCTGTGCCATTCCAATTGAGTTAATTATGCATGTGAGTTCTACGAGCTCTCGATGGATTGTATAGGGGCAAGGCACCTTGTTCAATGGAAAGTGCATTGAAATGAAGGGGTGGGCTGCTCAATAAATTGGAAGTAATGGTGGGACCCTTGATGTCAAGAAATGAAGAATAACAAGTTCTATCCATAAGAGTTTGTATTTGTCACTGACATTATCTTGTGATTATGGTTATGACGAATTCACATGGATGGGAACGTATACACCACAAAATCTAAGTGTCATAAGGTTTCTTCTCATTCGTGAGAATGATTGTGAGGAAACACTTTCACTAAGAGAGATTTTGAAGATAGCATTAAGTAATTTGGGTTTCTCAAATTTAACTATGATTACGACATATTTCTTCATAGTTCGAATTGTGGGAAATGGCAAATGGGTCTGAACATCTTAGACTTATTGATATGAGTCCTAGAATCGTTTAGACATATACATATGAGTTGTCCAAGGAAAAGTGTATGAGTTTGAGAAGCTTAAATAGATACTTATCGAAGCATCTAGTATTAGAAATATGAACTTAAGAAATTGTTTTCTTGAAGTTCAACTGGTTTCTGAATACATGTCGAAGCTAGTGGGAGCATAAGTGTTATGCTGGTAAAGAAATAATCATCATGTAAGTGGGATCATGATTATTATGGTAAGTATTGCAAGTTAGCAATATTAGTTATAGAAAACAAGAGTTATACTTGGCAAAGTTGTAAGAGTTGAAAAGTTGTTTTTGCCATAATTAAGGGAGAAAATATTGTACTTCGTTTAAAAAATCTAAGGCTTACATTGTGAATTTTTTAATAAATTTAGTCAAAGGATGCATAGTAAGTTCTTAAATTTCGATTATGATTATGGCATCCCTCTTCATAGTTCGAATTGTAAGAACGTGACACATAAAATATTATGGCAGAAGATTGATAGAGTATCGTATCTTTATGTAAGACACTATGCATCATGTCCCATACGCTTCGGGTATAGGAACAATTGCATATGCTATAACATTTAACCATTCTAAATTTTCCAAATGCCAAGGGCATTAAGAGGGGAAAATGGACTAGAACTGGTTTTGACTGAAATAATTAAACAACAATCAAAGGACGATACAAAGTTCGCTGATGATTGGTCGCTTGTGAGTAGTTGGAAGTATGGTATTGAATGGACCATATTGACATTATTATGAATAGATAATATTTTATTAAGAATGAGTTGTCACATGGTAAAGATGGAAATGTTTCCATAATTGGGAGTTGGAAATTAAGAATTTATGTAGATTAGAAAATTTTATGCAAAAGGATATTCAAAGGAATGTACTTTGAGTGAGAGACATCACATCTATAGAATTGTTCTGTAACAATTTTGATAGAGCACCTTGTGATTTCGTTGGCTGAGTCTTTGTGATTTTTATGCCATGACTTCACAAGAGAATCATTGCATAGAATATTAGAATTTTACTTATTCTAAAAGGTGGCAAGAATTTGGTATTCTTACACTAACTATAAAGATTGGGATTGTGAAATGAGTTTTCATTTTAAAAGTTTTAATTGATCCATTTCTCAAAGTATGGGCCATAGGAAACCAAAGTGTGCATGCTTGAAGCATGGGACAATTGTGGTTATGATTCAAGTTATAAAGTTGATTATCTGGAACGTTAAACAATGGATAATGAGTAATCAAT